TTGACGATATTTAGGGATTGAAATAAAAGTGCTCATTTATTGAACCCAAAAAGATGAACACAATAACTTGGAAAATCAGCATTGTAGGCCTCATGCCATCAGAATGATTATCAAACTTAAAGTTAGTGCCTTACCAAAATGAAAATGATCAAGCTGACCAGACAGCAGATGACAAAAATGTTTCCAACATTAGTAATAGCATAATAACGTTAAAATTTACATTAGAAAAAATTAAAGTAAATTTTGCATGCAATGTCATGATCCAACACCTCCAACAGTCGTTACAGCTATTCCTGTTAGTAATCCATTAGAAAAAGAATCGCCAGGCCCAGATTGGCAAAGTCCCACACAATTTGGCCCTCCACCACCACCTACCAACGCACCAACATCAGCGTTGGATATCATAGTCGTGCCAGCCACAGTAGCCACGGATTGACAACCAGTCACGCTAGTCCCTTGATTTGTAGCGTTAGCAGATGCCCCACTAGAAGATAATGATGCATTTTGACTAACACCTCTGCTGACCAAATCAGCAGCGGCATGCTCGATGCAAGCCGAGTCTAGGCCATCCAAACTAACACGAGTTAATGCCTCTTCGATACGGGAAAGCAGATCCGAGTCGGCCAACTGGCAAGCGGATCCAGCTCGAGCGGCTGCAATGATCAGAGTGCGAGCAGCTAAACATAGCAGTTTTGGTGCCAAGGTAGGAGCAAGGAGACAAGCGTCCGGCAAAGCTTGAAATACAACAGAACAAGGCTCAGACCCAGCTCCAGGCGTATAAACGTCGGCACAAGAAAATAGGCCACTGCAGCTGAAAGACACGTATCCAGAGGGAGAAGAGCAGGGAATGAAGCTTGAATTAGGAAGCAGAGCGAGCATCTCATGGATAGGAGAGGAGCTGCCTTCAGTCACCTTCCCGTAGGTGATAGGCTCAATGCCGTTATACTGGCCAGCATATCGAGTAAGGCAAGAAAGAATGGAGTTGGCAATCGAAATTGGAGCAACACTAGGATGCTTTAACCAGAGTCTGGAAAGTAGACGAAGAGCCAAGGAGCAGACCTCTGAATTCACATGTAATACCAGTTGTTCAAGATGACCCTAAGGCGGCATTTGGAGATAAGATAGATGATACAACTTTAGTATAATTTATTCTATGTTACCTAAACATAATTAGCAGCTATACTAATTAGGTTCGCTGTAAGAAACAAGGTGATTTTGAAATATCGAAGGAAAAATTGTCATGGTATATGCAATTCTTTGATGATCTGCAATTATTTATAGAAAAAGGAAAGTAAATGGCCAGTAGGAAAAAACTATGCATTTATATAAATGTAAAAGGTCGCTAAGAGTTTCATCGGGGCACTAAAGTTGAATTTTCAATAAGACTAGGTTTTAAGACTATCAGTAAGCCTTTAATAAGAACTTAGTGATTCTGGATTGCTTGAGGTGGATTGAGGATTGAAATTTAAGTTTTTCCATAATGAGATGAGTAGGCCTCATTATAACACAAAATTTCGCCCGGTCTTGCCTCCAAAAAGGATATTTCATCAAGAACCTATTGCCATTTGGACCTCGCCTAGGTCGAAACGGAATTCGATACCGGGTCGTATAGTGTCGAAGTTACTAAACACGATTTCCAATG